CCCCCCCCCTCTCTCTTTTTTGTGAAAAAGGGAAATTTTTGAAAAAAAAAAAAAAGGGGGAATATACGCAAACAATGACACTCAATTTCCATAAGAATGTTATTGAGTTGAGTTGAACACAAGAAACTACTAAACCCTAAGGTTAGGCCATAAACTATTGGGTCATAAGGCTTGGTTCTATCTTTATTTATTTATTTTCTTGAATGGGTTTACATTAGGAGACAGGAGATTCAAGCTCTAACCCTTGGGGTAGGGGAAATGCATCTTACAATTCGACTTATAACCGATGGATCACAAGACCTAAGTGCGCTTCGTTCTATCATCATAAAAAAATGTTTGGGTGCAATTTGAATTATGCTACATATTTCAAACCCAACCAATGGATGAGAGCGGACCCTTTTCATTTGATGGGCTTAATTTTGCTATCTGATTAGTTTGAATTCCAAAACAAACAACAGTTAACAAAATGAAAAAGAGAGACAAATATAGGACTTATTCTTATGTGCTCACAATGAAAGTACACCACAAAGAGGGTTTATGAGTTTATCATTATATGGTGAAAGGCATAGACCATATTCGGTGCTTAATAAGTGGAGAATGATTCAAAAGTAAGCAGAATAATTATAGCATTGGAGAATGTACAAGTAAAGCTATCATAATGCCTAAAATTAATTTAACTATCTTTTCAAATCCTGAAATGATGTTAATATACAGTAAACTTGCTTTCCCATATTAAGATAAGTTTCCCACTTAGGGCTCTTTTTTTTTTTTAATTAAAAAAATGATAAATCATATACAAGGAGATGGTTTCCGTTCATTCCAATCCCCTATGTATATGAGTTGTTCAAAAATACATAAGCTTAGTACAAGCCGAAAAGATGTGTGGACCATGTTCTATTTTGTTAAGGCCACATTGATGTTATTTAGTTTGACTAATATTTTATTAGTTTGTAATTTTTTTTAAAAAAAAATTGATTATAACATTTAAAAATATCAATTTATAAATTGGTTTCAATCTCTTAAATAAGAAATATAAATTAAATTATCAGTCATTTGTTATTTTTAACAATTAAATTAAATAAAATAAGATGGCCTTAACAAGCCACACCAGCCGAAAAGAGGACATCTAGATATAAAATTGAAATGTTAACTGCATGTGTCACAACATTTAGACTTAAATCTTGACATTGACACTAACACTATTAAGAAACAAATCCCAGATTCAAACTTTGAACAAAAAGTAATGAAAATAAAACAAGTACCAAATTGATATAAGCCTTGTAAACTCATCATTGATTCAACATAATCTCAAATGAGATATCAATCTCATTCAAAAAGAGAAAAATATTATCAATAAAATTTAAGAAGACACATATGATGTTCAGTTAGAACTTATTTTGTAAAGTAAGGTTTGTCATTTGTTGTTGTCAAACAGCACATGGGTTGTTGCCCATTGTCATCATACAAAAGGCCGATGAGATTTTCTCAAAACACTCATTTCAATTGTCAACACACCAAATTCATGTGTGTGTCTCTATGTCCTACTGTCATGTTGGTTATATCCCCTCTCAGCCTCAAAAATTAGATGCCAGTAAAGAAAAAGAAGGAAAGACACATTATAATCTATGTTAAAATAGAAATACAAATTAAATAAATATGTAGCATACATTAATAGCTGTAGAATTATTACTCCACCACCTTACGGTTGAAGCATAAGATATAGTAGCTAGCTAGGCTTAATTGCTTCTACCCAACAACTACCATCCTTAATACACAGAGGTTGGCTACACCTACATACATTAATAGCAACCTCATCTCTTATCTACCAACTCACCAGAATATCATTTAGGGTAATTCCCACTTAAGAGAGTGAGAGAGAGAGAGAGAGAGAGAGAGAAATACGAAACTGATTTGTTGACGGTGTTTGTAGACAACAAATCCTCATTATAGTCACATGGCATCAAAAGAGTAGATACATGCTGATTCACGCTTACCACCGAGATAAGAAACTAATAAAAACTACAGCCACATCATGTTGTGAGGATTTGTTTTCAACAAATGTTGTAAATGAATCATTTTCACAAAAACTACTAAATATTAAATCTCGGTTATTCAATGCAATTCTGTCAACAGACTCATCTATTTAAGATAATTCAGAATTCATAACTCTGCCCCTGTCTCAACATGAAATAAGGGTTGCTCCTTGATGAAAGAATTAAGCTTCTGAATAAAAAAATAAGATCTGTTTGAAAAATAGGATATTAAAAAAATATAACACATAAATAAAAACTTTTACCAAAGTCTAATGAAATAAGAAGCACCATTCTAAAGACCCAGAGTAACATCAAAAGAGTGTGCAATGTGATCCTTGAAGGATTCAAAATGCTATAAAAAAAATTGACACAAATGCAAGAATGAAGTTTTGGCACTTGCCTAGTTGAAGAACATGTATGCTAGATTTGTTATTTCATTTAGTCAGAAATTGTCCAGATGTGTGACAGAAAGATCAAGTGTGTGGATGTGTGATTATATATAGTTTAAGAATCAGAAATGTAGCACAAATCGAGATAAAGACCAAAGTAAGCAACAAATTATGGACAAAAGCCATATTGACATTAAAATAAGAAGTCTATAACTGGATGTTTCCAGCTGCTATCTGCATTACACCCACTGATACAATAAACAATGCAACAAAGAAGCACTAGCAGAACAATTATATAATAGACATCTTAAATCTTTGTCAAGAGTCACACAGAGGACATACTGCATACTAACATTACTATATTCTAAAGATAAGAATATCTTATCATGAATCCCAGTAGCTTCATCAAGAAGGTGAAATGTTTCCTCAACTATCTTCATTTTTTTGCTATATCCAGGAACTTCTACATCCTGAAACAAAAATTATGGACAAATCCCACTGGAAATAGCCAAAACCTAACCCCAAAATAGTGATCTCCTAACCCAATATTAAATTTTAACATATAAATTATAAAAAACTATAAACAAACAAATCAAGAACAGATTTTCTCTTCCCTTTCACAATTTCAACAGAATCAAGATTACCCCTAAATTAAAGAAACCAATTTATCAATGCAGATGAAGAGGGATTAACTAGAGATGGCATCCAAAGCAATTACAGGTCTTCGGAGTGAAGGAGCAGAACCCAAAAGGCCGGTTGGGAATGTTGCAATTGATGGCATAGCAACAAGGGGATGGCAAGCAAATGCCCCTGGCACCACCACAGCAAGTGCAAGGGGCACATATCTGAAAACTCCCCAGCTTTCTTCTGCTTTCATTCACCATAGCAAACATCTTCTCCTCCAAAAACGGCACCAACTCCTCTGAAGCCGACCCATTTACCTCCAAATCCAGAAACAAACACTCAAATCAACAAAACCCCTCAAAAAGAATAATGGAAAGTTTACAATAAAGGGATCTACAAATCAAAGCTAGGTTTTCAAAAAAAAAAAAAAAAGTGGGGGAGGGGTAAAAACACTCACATGCATTATGCTTGCTCCACCGTAACTGATTACAGTAGCTGAAAAGAGTAGAAAAATGAGAGAAACAGCAACCCCATTAAAAGATTTCATATTTCCTGAAGCGGGTATAATTTGAGCTAGTGTTTGCTTAAAGAAGTAGAGAGAATGTGAATGGGTAGATGATGGGTATTTGTGCTGAATTTGTAGAAGAGCAGTGATGCTTTTAAATTGAATTGGTGAATTATCAATAAAGGGATTGACTTTTTGAATGGGTTTCGAACTAATTGCGGTGGAGAATGGAAATGTAAAATTTAGGAGGATCCTAAATGGGATCTTACTCAACTTTGTTGGGAAAGAAATTCAAGAAAGTGGTGGAATTTGGAGGACAGATAGGAAAAGGAAGAGAGAGGTTCGTTCACCTTTTTCCCACTGTGGGGAGTGTGAGTATTAAGGAGACAAATGCATCCTTTGGCTCTTTGCTTGGAGGTAGTCGGTATATGGATTGTAAAGTAGTATATAGGAATAATTTGACAATAACATTTACCGACTCCGAGATGCATTTAGTCACATGTCGTCATGATCATCATAGGTAAATGAAAGTGCATAACTGTCACGTATGGTCTAATATTTTAGTTTACAAAAGCATATTTTTGCAATCAGGCTTTGCATCAGACCGCTTTAGAACCAATAAAACTTAGTACAAATCTCACTTATTGAAAAAGTATGATATTATTGTTTGATGTAAGGTTGAATTATAAAATATTATTTTTCTTAATTTATGAGTTAGGTATTTTTTTAATTTGAATTATAAAATATTAATTATTATATGAAAAGATTATCCCAATATTAAGTAGGTTCTCTTAATTTAATGATTTATATTTTATAATTTAGTATTATTTATATTATAAAATGCTTTTATTTTTTGAATATTAAGGTAAAATTCACACTTGACATAGTTAGCATAAAAAGGTTTTTACAAAAGAAAGATAACCATTAGGTAACGAAGACATTCTCATACTACAAAATACTTTTTTATTAGTTTATATATAAAAGGTATTATACTACAGTTATTATGTATAAATTGTAATATTTTTAACCATTAATAAAAATATAAGACTTGATATAAGAAAACTTG